ACTACTTCATTTTTCCATTGGTTCATTCATTTATTTAGTATATATTTATTAAGCATCAACTGTGCAATGCACTGTGCTAGGAACTTGGCGGCTAGGGAGTGAAGTGAACAGAGTGCCAGGCCTAGAGTCAGGAATACGAGAGTTCAAATCTAGCCTCAGAAACTTACTAGCAGTGTGACCCTGAGCAAGTCACTTAACCCTGTTTCTCCCTCAGTTTTCTCATCTGTAAAATGAGCGGGAGAAGGAAACAGCAAATCACTCCCAGTATCTTTGCCAAATGGGGTCATGAAGAGTTGGACGTGACTGAAACAACTGAACGACAACAACGATGAACCGGGAGAGGAACAAGATGAAGAAGGCAGGTCTTTGCCAATAGAGGAGGATGACATGCACACAAATAAATATGATACAACTTAGAATATAATCAGCAAGTGCACAAGACAAAGTGCTATGATATCAGATAAGGGAGAGATCATTACCAGCTCAGAGATCAGGGATTTTTGGAGAAATCAATATCATTTACCTTGCACTTTGCAAAGTGAAAATGTGGGGGAAGGATTAGGTATTAGGTGAAGGGGCAGGTTGAGGAGGGAATAATCCTAGGCATAGGAGAAAAAAAAAAACCATGAACAAAAGAGGAGGTGGCAAAAACATCAGATTTCCCCGGGGGGGGAGGGGGGAGGAGTAAAAAGGCCAGTTCGACTGGAGTGCAAAGTATGTAAAGAATAATCAATCATGTTCACCTGGAAAGGTTGAACTGAAATTCGAAACCAGATCATGAAGGAACTTGAATGTCAAATAAGGTCTAGATTTTTTTTTTTTTTGGTGAGCCATGAGGAACCACTGAAGGTTTTTAACAGAATGACACGGTCAGAGCTGTGCATTCCAAATAGATGACTCGAGGTAGGATGGATTAGAAGGTAAAAAGTCTGGAAGAGGGGAGACTGGTTAGGGGATTACAATAGCCTACATGAAAGTAGGAGCAGGTGGGTGGTACAGTGGATAAAGCACAAGCCCTGGAGTCAGTAGGACCCAAGTTCAAATCTGGCCTTAGACACTTACTACCTCTTTGACCCTGTGCAAGTCACTTAAGCACGATTGCCTCCAAAAGCAAAAAAGTAAAAAGTCATGTAATAATAACAGTTAACATTTATATGAGGGGGCAGCTAGGTGGTGCAGTGGATAGAGCACTGACCCTGAAGTCAGGAGGACCTGAGTTCAAATGTGACCTCAGACCAAACACTTGACACTTACTAGTTGTGTGACCCTGGGCAAGTCGCTTAACCCCAATTGCCTTTAAAAAAAAATTATATGTTATTTACTGTGTGCCAGGCACTATGCTAACTATGTTATAATTATTATTTCATTTGATCCTCACAACAACCCTGCAAGGTAGGTGCTTATTTTTATCCCCATTTCATGGATGAGCAAACTTACTTGACTTGCCAGGGTCACACAGCTAGTAGTGTCTGAGACTGGATTTGAACTCATATCATCCTGAGTTCACCAGACCCTGACTCTATCCCTCGTGCCACCTAAATTGCCTGTAAATTAGAAAGAAGCTGGAAACAAGAGATGTTGTATTTTCTTCACACATAGGAACTAGGTTAACACCAAGATCTTAAAGTAACTATGCTAATGAACTGTAACGAAAATTCATTTTGAAAGGTTGTATATCATGCAGTTATATTATAGAACCTCCTCTGAGTCTACCCAACTAATGCAAAACATAACAAAATAAAAGGGAAAGGGTATAGGAACTTCTTGGTTTCCTTCAGTATTACCTCTGATAAAATGTGGGCGTGAATGTGCATTTGACAGTTTTTAAGGGAAAGTCTTACTCTACATAGCACTCAAATGCTATATTTAGAATGTTTCGTATGTTATCTACTCAGAAGAAAATGCCAAGATCTAATGCTTAGGCATCTCCCAAAAACTCCCTAATGGCCTCCCTATGGTTCACAGAACAGCTTTAAGAATTTTCCATAGTATGCTGTGGTGCAGTGGACTTGGGTTCAAGATGCAGTTTTGCCACTGACAGCTAGGTGGTGCAGTGGATATAGCACTGGCCCTGGATTCAGGAGGACCTGAGTTCAAATGCGGCCTCAGACACATAACACTAGCTGTGTGACCCTCACTTAACCCTATTGCCTAGCCAAAAAAAAAAAAAGAGAGAGAGAATTTTCCATAGTATGCTGCAGTGGACTTCGGTTCAAGACTCAGTTCTGCCACTGACAGCTAGGTGGCACAGTGCATTGAGTACAGCACCTGGAATCAGGAAGATTCATTTTCATAAATTTCAAATCTGGCCTCAGACACTTCCTAGCTGTGTAATTCTGGGCAAATCATTTAATCTTTTTGAATCAGTTCCTCCTCTGTAAAATGAGCTGGAGAGGGAAATGGCAAACCACTCCAGTATCTTTGCCAAGAAAACCCCAAATGAGTCAGATATGACTGAAAACAACTAAACAACAAAGCTTGAGAAAGTCATTTAGAATCGTTGGACTTCAGCTTCTGCATTTGTAAAGTGAGAGAAATAATACCTGCCCTAACAATTTCACAGAGTGAAGCCTGTTGGCATATACTTCAAGAGAAGGACACTAAATTGTGTCAGCCATGTCCTTTCGGACTCCTCTAGGTATGAGAATGTTCGACTCTTCTATGGCCTATTAAGCTTATCAATTCATTCCTAAGTGGTTACAAAGCAGGCCTCTGCCTGGCCCAGTGAGTAGGACACATTAGTTGGAGCAACTAGGGCTAGAGTGGAAAAAGGACATAGTTCTGGCTTTATTATCTTATTTCATATTGCTCTCTTTGATATGCCCTTTGTTCTAGACAAAAAGGACTTTCAACAATTCCCCCAACTTGACATTCATCTCTCCCCTCCATGCACTTTCACAAGTCATTCCCCAAGGTTGAAAAGCGCTCTTCCATCTCTGCTTCTCAGAATCCTTGTCATTCTTCAAGGTTCAAATCATGTAGCACCCTCCTCTGTGAGGTCTTCCTTGATTCTGCATCGCCTCTGGACATAAATGTTCTTACCCTCCTCAAACCACCTTATGTTTACTTATTTGTGTACACTTAGGTAGACAATAATAGCTCACCTTCATTGACTCTTTACTGTTTACCTAGCACTTCCCTTACCACTGTATGAGATAGGTAATAGAGTCATCACTATTACAGAAAAGTCGACTCAAAACAGGCACCTGAATGACAGATAAGATGAGATCACTGGGATCATCTGTACACATGAAAGCAGCAGTCAATTAGCATTTATTAAATGCCTAGTATATGCCAGCTACTATGCTAAGTGCTGGGGATACAAAGAAAGACAAAAAAAAAAATTAGTCTTTGATCTCAAGGAGCTCACAGCCTAACAAGGAAGACAAAAAGCAGACATACACAAATAAGATAATTCGTTGCTCAGTCATTTCAGTCATGTCTGACTCTTTGTGACCCCATCTGGAGTTTTCTTGGCAAAGATACTGGAGTGGTTTGCCATTTCTAGCTCATTTTACAAATGAGGAAATAGAGACAAACAGGGTTATCAGACACAAGCTTGTAAGTGTCCAAGGCTATATTTGAACTCAGGTCTTCATGACTTCAAGCCTAGAACTCTATCTGCTGCACCACCTAGCTTCCCTCAAACAAGATAGAGATAAATGATAAATTGATATATCATATGCATGATAAATCAAACAAGATATGTGTGGGTGTGGGTGCATAATAAATTGGAGATAATCTAAGAGGGAAGGTACTAAGATTAAGAAGGACTGAGAAGGGCTTCTTTAAGAAGGTAGGACCTTAGCTCAGTCTTGAAGGAAACCAGAGAAGCCAGGAACCAGAGATGAGGGAGAGAGTTCCAGGAATGGGAAAGAGACATTGAAAATTATCAGAGTCTGAAAATAGAAAGTTGGGCTCAAGGAACAGCAAGGAAGCAGTGTCACTGTTTCACAAAGTATGTGAGATTAAGGTATAAGAAAACTGGAAAGGTAGGAAGGGGCCAAATCATGAAGAACTGTAAAAACCAAACAAAGGCTTTTATATTTTATCTTGATGGGAATAAGAAACCACCAGAGTTTGTTGAATAAGAAAGTGATATGGTCAGACCTGTGTTTAAGGAAGATTAATTTGACAGCTGAGTGGAGGAAGGATTGGCGTGGAGACAACCAGTAGGCTATTGCAACACAGAAACATCTAATACTGTGTTAAACTTTGTGACCCTACTGTGAAGTAATATGAGAAGGGAAATGGAAGTACAAAGAAATTAATGTATTTTTAATCAATGAACACTTATAAAGCATCTACTATATGCCAGGCATAGTGCTAGGTGCCAGAACTACTAAAGACAAAAAGTAAATAGTTCTTGCCCTCAAAAATGTTATGATCTATTGGGGAAGACAACATGAATGTATATAAAAATCTGTAATACAAAATAATGTGGGAGTAGAATGTAGAGAAGTCAGAAAAGGCTTCAGGTAGACAGTGGTACTGGCAGGTAGGTGTCACGGTGGATAAAGTGCTGGCCCTGGAATCAGGAAGATTCTTCTTCCTGAGTTCAAATGTGGCCTCATAATTCCTAGCTATGTGACCCTGGGCAAGTCACTTCACCCAGTTTGCCTCAGTTTCCTCATCTGTAGAATGAGCCAGAAAAGGAAATGGCAAACCACTCCAGTATCTTTACCAAGAACACCCCAGATAGGGTCGTGTTCAGACATGGCTGAACAACAAGAACAAACACAGTGGTGCCAGAGCTGAGCTTGGAAGGATTCTAAGAGACGGAAGACAAGAAAGAGAATGTCCCAGACATCGGAGCCACCCAGTACAAGGGCACTGGAAATTGGCTAAGATCAGACCACCTACCCACCTTGGGTTAGATGGTTTATATTTTGGACTTAAGCAGTGGCGATATTTAAATTGAAGACAAACACCAGGCTGTGTTTTAAATTGTTGGTTTTGTTCTAAGGATTTGTTACTCAACTCATAATTCTATCTTACAGCTGACACTGCTCTTGGAACAGATGATGTGTATGATGAGAAAGGATGTCAATGTGATGTTTCAGTAGAAGACCTCACACCACCACTGAAAACTGTCATTAGGGCCATCAGGTAGGTGAGAAAAATGTGGCAGAGACCCAGAGTTGATGGTTAGAATTACTATGTTGCTATGGTCCTCTCTTGTAATAGCTTCTGCCTTGGGTTCCTATTAGTCAACATGCCTATCAAAGGCTGAAACATTTTCTCCTGGTAATAATAAAAATTAACATTTATTTGGCATTTTAAGGTTTGCAGAGTGCTTTATGTATTATTTTATTTGATAATAGAGATACTACATTGGATTCAGTGCCAGAGGTTTTATCTATGCTGGATGGAGTCTGAAAAGTCAAGCAAAGTTGGAGAAAAACCATATGATAGCTTGCTACATGAAAGACATTTAACTTAAATGCCATTAGACTTTTTAAAATCCTTCTTGTGAACTGGCACTTTCTATAGGATGGCTTAGAATGGGTTGAACATAAGATAGACACAAAACAATTTTATAGTTATACTAGGCCTTGCATGAGTGAAATGTTATACTCAAAGGCTATCTTTAGCTTTTATCCTTTCTTTAATGAATGAGAAGCTAAAAGAGATAATCAAAGGAACAAGTTTATGTCCCCAAAGGACTCAGAAAGTGGAGCCCACATCAAGTTCTCAGTCTGCTGTCTCGGTTAAAATTTTCATAGGAATTTTTTCTATTTGAAGGCAGTCTAGCACAAGTCTAGTACACTGCCTGGCACATATTAGGCACTTAATAAATTGGCACCGACTGACTTACTGACTTGATTGATCTTTCTAGTGCAAGAAAATGCTTCCTTTTAAACTCGGTTTATACAAAGCCAAAGAGCCAGTAGAAAATTTAAGAAGTAACCCAACACTCCCAGGTATTTATGAACATTCCAATGATGGATATATTTCTTCCTAACTTCAGCTGGATATTTGTCATCCTGCTCCATTCAAGCCCCTGTAAGTTTCTTGGCCTGGAAACTTTTCACTGCATACCTTTAGTCAAAGTTTCTGGAAACCAATGTATATGTAGTCATTTTGGTAAATATTAAAAGAAATAAGGCACATTTTGGGATAGTAAAAATATTAGTGAGTCTGGAAAGCTTTAAAATGTATCAGCAACATTAGGCCAAAAGATAAATAAAATAATCCCCCTACCACTTTTATCTTCCTCTCTCATGGTTACCAATAATTAACAAACAAAAAAAAAAACTTCAAGTAACTGGCAGTATGGGAGACCTGGAGGTCTTGGGTGGGTTCTGTGCTCTACAAATGTAAAGATCAAGTCAAAAAGTTCCTGAAGTGAGGAGAGGACAAGAGAGGACAGGAGAGGAGAGGAAGCTTTCAAAATCACCTTGAAAGACTTTATCCATGTCAATGATAGCCAGCAGGGTGCTAAGAGAAATGATTATTTCTTTCTTATATTAATAATTAATTATTATTAATAATTAGGTTTTTCCCCTTTTCTACTTCCTCATCCAGCAATCAACCAGGGTGGGCAATCTTGCTCAAAGACTTACCCAGGCTAAGACCTGATTAAAGACAGTAAAAGAAATTCTAAGTTTTGGCAAATGGTTGGATTCCTGCTCATTGTGTTTACTCAGATAGCTCTAGGAAAATATGGTTTCTCCTTTTATCAGAGAGGTGATATGGAAAATGATGTCTCTTTGACCAAGATATAGGTGCTCAGTGTCACACACCTCAAGACCCCTACTGTAACCACCTCTTATTATAATATTCATTCTTTCATTAATCATTAACCAATATTATAATATTCATTCTTTCATTAATCATTAACCAATCAGAGTTGATTGCCACCCTCAGGAACACCTGCTCTTCCAAGGACATGGGGTGAGCCCACCTCCATGAGGTGTCTTTGGCCTTCAAGAGTACCACTGACCTCTTTTATTAATAGCATAGTAGGCTTATTAATAAAATGATTAAATTACCCAGAAACCATGTCTCTTGAACTTCTTCAACATCACAGTATCCATAAATTAGAGAGGAGGAATAAAGGCTAGTGGGACCCACAAAAATGTACTAAAATCTTTGTTAACCCATTTACCTGTCCTATCTCATGAACTTTTTAAAAATTTTTCTGCTTTTTACTTCTGTGGTTTCAACCTATAGCTGAGATAAACAAATTGACCTCCACTTATGGTTTAATCCACTTGTCAAGAGAGACTAAGGCAGTTCTCTATCAACATTTGTATCACTGCCTCTTTAAAGACAGCACAGCATATTGGAAAGAGACTGAGTCAAAACACCTGAATGTGAATCCTGCCTCTTACATCTAAAAGTCATATGATCATGGGCAAGTCATTTAACTTCTCTGTGCCTGTTTCCTTGGCTATAAAATTGGGTCAATAAGATTAACTGCCTACTTCATATGGTTACTGTGAGGAAAGTGCTTTATAAACAATATAGAAATGTGAGCTAGTATCATTTTTATTCAATCCTTTCCAATGCTTCACTGCTGTGAAGATTCATCTCTGGCTTCTTACATCTTTAACTAGATTTTATTTTTCATTTTTATGGACTTCTAAAGTTTTCTGGCTTCTACATCTTGCAGAAATGTTTTCTTCCTCTCTCAATGTTAGTTTTCCTCAGCCAAAGTCAGCAAGAACAACTCTCACTTTGTACCTTGATCTTGAGGTCCCTTTCAGTGCTAAAATCCTATGATTCGATCATGGTGTGCTGGGGATGGCCTGATTAGTGGATGAAAGATTTGTGGTTATTTTTGTAGATATAGGTACATGACTAAAGGATCATGTTAGTTACCCACACCTGAAAAAGGCATTTGGAGGTTCAAGTCTATACATCTTATCCAGGAGCATCTTTGCCTTGAGCATCTTTTGTTGCATAAATAAACTCAGGTTCACTTAGTCAGAAAATTCAATTAGCCAGAACCCACAACTCATCCACCTACCCAGATAACTAAAGTACCATGGTAGTCTTAGATTATTTCCTGTTGATGAAACTTGCTCATCAATAATGTGATCTATCTTTTTTGGCTAGTGTGACTTTGCCTTTCTGTTTTTTCCTATTTTATGGTGCTTAACTTTTTTTAAAACTTCTTTTTTTAATCAGTGGTCAGAAATACATTTGGTAACCCAGTTATTACATATTATTTCCTTGAAAATAAAACTAAATGGTATGATGGGAAAAAAATTTTTTCATTTGAGAGTTGGCAGTACAGAAAAATAAATGCATTAAATATGCTATTTGTAAGGTTTTAATTGCTATATATTTCTGTGGTAATAAATGTTTATTATTATCATGTGATTGGGCATTTTTATGGAATGCTAAAATTCCCTCTCTGATCATAATCTCCTGTCCTTTCATTTCTCTCACTTCTTCCCTCCTTCTAAATCTATTCTTTGCCACCACCTTGGGTTGTAATACCTCCACCCTTCCCTGCTTTTCCATTCCATTAGTTAACCCTATTCTGGCCTCATTTTCCTTCCTTCTTTCTTGACCCTTATCGTTAAATAGTTTAATTATGCATCATCCTTCATTCTTGAATATCTTTTCTCCTCACTACCCTTGTCTTTCTTTTATCACTTACCTACCTGCCATTCCTCAATCCTCAACTCCAACAATTGCTCCTATTCAATCTGCTCCTGTTCTTCAGCTGCTAAATAATGTGCTGCTGGTGAAAGTTACCCAAATGTGCTTGCCTGGCTCCACTATAAATTCATGTTAACCAGTTTCAACTGAGCATGGCACTCCTTTTATGCTTTCTTGATTGATTCTCTATCATGTCCAGTCAAGTCTAGTTAACAAACATTTATTAAGTGCCTACTACATGCCAGGCACTGTGCTAAATGCTTGGGATACAAAGAAAAGTACAACACAGTCCATGCACTCAAGGAGCTCACAGTCTAAGGGGGGAGACAACATGAAAACAACTGTATAGAAAGAAGATAAAGTACATACAAGATAAATTGGAGATAATCAACAGAGGAATGGTATTAAGATTGAGGACAGAGAAAGGCTTTTTGCAGGAGAGATTTTTGCTGTGACCTGAAGGAATCCAGTGATGTTAGGAGGCTGAGATAAGGAGGGAGAGAATTGCAGGAACTGCTCACCATTATTCCAAATTTTCTCCTCTTCCCCACAAGGCTCCATCACCCTGAACTTCTCTCATAGATTACTTTACCTCTGATTTTATTGCAAAAATTGAGGCCATCTGTCTTGCTCTCTTGCCTGACACCTCAAAATTCCTCTCCATCATTATCCTCATAATTGTGGTAAATGTAAAGTCTAACACCAGGGTTCAAAAAAACAATTTCACAAGTTGCAGGAGGCATAGCTAAATAGCAGTTCATTAGAAAAAAGATGGAGTTTTACTGGGCTACAAACTCAACCTGACTTGACAATATGATGTGACAGCTAAGAAAACTGCATTAGGAATTATGCAGTGTCCAGAACTGGAGAAGGGGGAAGGAGGGAGGTAAGACTCTTGTAACTGTATTCTGCCCTTTCCAGACAACGTCTGGAGAATGGTATTCCATTAGAAAAGCCGTATTTTAGGAATTAGCCTAATTTCTCCTTTACATTGATAGTCTAAAGAATTTCTTGATGAGGACAGCCAAGATATTAAAAGAACTCAAATTCATGCCATAGAGGACTGGGTGAAGGAACTGGGAATATGTAACAGAGCCATGATAACTATGTACAAATACTTTAAAGAAGATTTTTCTTTGTAAGAGTCTCATTCCACGGTGACAGGGCAGATTATATCCAATGTGATGACTGTTACACACAAACAAAAAGTATCAAACTTCTTCTTTTATTTCAGTGATTTCAACGTATGGCTGAGGGAAATAAATTGATTTGGCCTCCATTTAAGGTTGATTCTAACCATCAGGAGAGCCAGGCACTTATCTCCTCAGTGTGTCACCCAAGCTCTGCCATCTATCACCTTCTCTTCTCTTTCTCTTGTTTTTCTGTGTTTCTCTCTTCTCTCTCTCTCTCTCTCTCTCTCTCTCTCTCTCTCTCTCTCTCTCTCTCTCTCTCTCTTTCTCAGGATCTAGCAGGGTGCTTTGAACATAGTAAGC